CTTGTTGGTTTTTCTTCGTCTTTTATACTTCACTTAGTATAACAGTTTCTAGTTCCATCCATTTACCTGCAACTTTCATGATTTTATCTTTCTTTACTGCTGAGTAAAACTCCCATCATATAAATGAACCCATTTTCATTATCCACTCGTCAGTTAAGGGACACTTAGGTTGTTTCCATCTCTTAGCTATTGTGAAAAGAGCAGCAACAAACATGGATGTACAAGTGTCTCTGCAGTAGGATGGATTCTTTGGGTATATGCCAACGAGGGGTATAACTGGGTCAAATGGTAGGTTCATTTTCAGTTTTTTAAGAGTTCTCCATAGTGCTTTCCATAGGGGTTGAACAAATTTGCAATCCCACCAGCAGTGGATGAGCATTCCCCTTTCTCCACATCCTCTCTAACATTTGGTATTATTTGTTCTCTTGATCTTAGCCAGTCTGACTGAGGTAAGATGAAATCTTAAAGTGGTTTTAATTTGCATTTCCCTAATTATTAATGATGTTGTACACCTTTTAAGATACTTCTTAGCCATCTTTATTTCTTCTTTTGAGAACTCTCTGTTTAGTTCCTTAGCCCATCTTTTAATTGGGTTACGTCCTTTCTTGATTCTTTGTTTTTGAGTTCATTATATATTCTGGATGTGTTGCTGGTGAAGATTTCCTCCCACTCTGGGGGTTTTCTTTTTACTTCTTTGGTTGCTTTTGATGCACAGAAGCTTTTCAGTTTAATGAGGTCCCTTTGTTGATTCTTGACGTTGTTTCCTGATAATTGCTGTCTGGTTTAGAAAATCCTTTCCTACACCTATATCTTGTAGGTTATTGATTATGTTTTCTTCTAACAGTTTTAGAGTTTCAGGCTTCACATTGAGGTCTTTGATCCATTTGGAGTTGACTTTTGTGCAAGGTGAAAGATAGGGGTTTAGTTTCACTCTTCAACAGGTGGAGATCCAGTTCTGCCAGCACCATTTGCTGAACATGCTGTCTTTCCTCCAGTGTGAGTTCTTGGCCCCTTTGTCAAATATCAGGTGGCTGAAATTACATGTACTCATATTTGGGTCTTCAGTTTTGTTCCATTGATTTATGGGTCTATTTTTCTGCCAGTACCATGTTGTTTTTATGACTATAGTTCTGTGATATAGTTTAAAATCTGGTATGGTAATCCCCTCAGCATTGCTCTTATTGCTCAGGGTTGCTTTGGCTATCCAAGTTCTTTTGTGCTTCCATATGAATCTTAGGATGGTGTTTTGCAATTCTGTGAAGAATGTCATGGGGATTTTCATTGGCATTGTATGGAATGTATAAATGGCTTTTGGTAGGATGGTCATTTTCACAATATTAATTCTTCCAATCCATGAGCATGGGAAGTCTTTCAATCTCCTGATGTCT